GGGGTTATTTGCTCGTTTGGTGTTTGCTTGTTGTTGTTTTTGGGGGGTTTTTTGCTTGTTTGTTTTATTTATTTATTTATTGTTTGTTTAATTATTTTGTTTAAAATTAGGATTGTATCGTGCTGTCGTGTTTAAACCTTTTGTTTTAATATGGCAAAGGGATTGCTTTTTAGATATCATCATCCCTTCGAAGATTTTGGTAATCCATTGATTTACTTAAACAAAAAAAGTAATTGCAAAATCACACAATTCTCCTTATGAAAAAAAGATATAAAATCTTACCGAAAATGAAGCAGCTATGATACTGTTGAAGATATTGTCTTCCCACGATGCTTGTCGTCCTGGTTCTTTACTTTTGGTTTGTTTTTCAAACGATGAAAACAGTAACACTTCTGAAGTTTTGCCTTGAGTAAAGTGCAAAGACAAATAACCAATGTTTTCTCAGCCAAACCAAAAGTTCAGTCACTTTTTTAAAACATCCAGTACAGCAGCTGAATGAATTTCCCGAAGTCCTTAGTGAAGATCGTTTAACTTGAAGCGTTCTTTTCTGTGTGGCTTCTTTGCTTTGAACAATAAAATCACTTTCTTGTTCCCACTGCCAGAGTGAAAGTATTTCTTGACACTATCTTTCCAAGTTGTGTCACTGATCCCATATGCATGTAAGGTTTCAGCAAACTATTTTTCTGGTGTTTCGTTTTCTGACACACGTGGCGATTCGATGATATGCCCAATGCCATCTGGTACAAGAATAAAAACGCGGCCTCTACTTTATTTCTCCAGTCATGCTCCTTTTACGGAGTTCAACAGATCAGTCACTTAAGACGTAAATCTGAAATTGTTGAATCAACTGGGATATACAATTTTGGGGAGAAATCAAGAGTGGTTTTCTGCGTCTAGATCTATCAGGACTGTGCAGTTGGGTGTTCCTACTGACACACCGTACAAAACACACAAAAAATTAAACAGTTATTAATCCCTTAAACTTTGAGAATTACCAATTTCAACACTGAAATAATTTCCAACTAAAGCTTTTGCTATCAAGCTCAATCTATTGTCGCGGCGTATAGTCGAGCCCTTGATTCAAGTCCAAGACGCACCTTCTTGTGGTGAGAACGGGATTGGAAACTCATAGAGCACGGCTAGTAACGGCCGCCTCAAGTGGTGACTGCCAGCAAGACATGGGAGGCAGGGAAATATAATTCATGTGTTTACAGCGCTTGCCGAAGATTACCGGTGACGTTTCCAATCAGGCGCTCGATCACGAGAGCCGCGGACAATTACAGCCATAGTGCGGGTATCGCCGGTAATGAAGAGGGGTGGGCGTGGCCTGGTGGGGTCGAGTGAGACTTGGCGTGTGGCTCCGCCCCCCTGGTGTCACCGATGCCAGGCGGGAAGAGGGCTGGGATCGGTTCATCGATTGGAATGTCCTGGGTAAGATGCTGTGGTGCCAGGCTGATTAGGTGGCAGGCGTGGGGACAGGTTTGGGCGGGAAGGCTAGTTTGGCCCTCCTCCTCCTCCTCCTCCTCCTCCTCCTCC